CTGTGCAGTTGTAGAACATTTCCAACATCTCAGTAAGTTCTATCAGACAGTGTTATCAGCTAGAGGATGAATAGGTATTACCCAGGTAAAGAAGACAGGGAAGAGAATGCCAGACAGAGCCGTGTATTGCAGGAGGCAACATGATTTAAACAAAAACCTAAAAAAAAAAAAAAAAAGCCAGTGTGCCCAATGCTACAAAGAGACACTGAAGAGGCGAAGGGAAAGCAGTGGCTGAGTCAGGCTAGGGTACATATGTTCCAAATTGCTGGAGGAAGAAAATCAAACAAAGGCAATCCAGTTAAAGATAATGAAGAAAATAAGCAACAAAACAAATACGTCTATAAATAGAGAAAGAAAAAAAGGTGGGAGAGATGAGGTCAAACGTAACAGATACAAAGCTGTAGATCATGCTAAACTGTCTTAGGAAGGACACTACATTCAGCACAGTAGTTGCAGGGGCCAGACAGGTGAATTAAATGCAGGTATATGAGGAACCATGGCTGGGTGCGGTGGCTCACACCTGCAATCCCAAAACTTTGGGAGGCTGAGGCAGGTGGATTGCCTGAGGTCAGGAGTTCGAGACCAGTCTGACCAACATGGTAAAACCCCGTCTCTACTAAAAATACAAAAATTAGTTGGATGTGGTGTCGCACGCCTGTAATCACAGCTACTCGGGAGGCTGAGGTTGGGGAATCACTTGAACCAGGGAAGTCGAGATTGCAGTGAGCCGAGATCATGCCAATGCACTCCAGCCTGGGCAACAGAGCAAGACTCCATCTCAAAAAAAAAAAAAAAAAAAAAAGGGACCACTATCTCTGCATTCTTTAAGTCTTTAAGGGTAGTGTTAATTTTTGCCATTACCACTATTATGTGATGCTGTTTTAAATTTCTGCAATTTCTGCATGGAGTCATATTTCAGTGATTCTACTTGGCCTTTTCTACTATAATAATTCTTTTTTATTTTTATACAGATGGAGTCTCCCTATGTTACCCAAGCTGGTCTTGAGCTCCTGGGCTCAGACGATCCTCCGACTTGGCTTCCCAAAATGTTGGGATTGCAGGCATGGGCTATCATGCCTGACCTAGTTCTTACTCTACGAGTGAAGGACCTAATTTGAGGGGCTGCCAAATACTAAATACGTCGTTCCAAATGGGACCAACATTTGGGAAGCAGGGAAATGATCTCTGATTGAGTCTTAACTATGAATTATCTCCCGTTACTGTGAAGATAGTGGATTTACCATAAGGTCATGTGGTTTTTGTTCTGTTCCACCTCCCTGGGTGCTAACTCTTCTATTTGATGATTTTAGATGTCTCTATTTTGTGCTACCGGATGTACACAAATGACGATTCTCTCTTCAGCTTTATATTTGAGAAGCCCTGTGCACCAGCTATTCTGTGTTCTCTCCCTAACTCCAGAGAGTGTGTGGAGAGAGTAAGGCCATACTTGAATAGGGAGGTTTGCTGGTAATTTGTCTTCTGGGAGCTGATGCTCCCCAGAAGCATGATTCATTAGCTGCCAGGTGGGGAGGGGGTGCATTTCTCTACCTATCCAAGACCATTTCTCACGCTGCTTTAGCTTACAAAGTTACTGCTAGCTTATGACAGCTGGACACGAGGAACTACCTGTTTAGCTGCTCAGTCAACCTGATACATGCCCCAGAGCCATCACTCACTTCGTGTACCTGGCCTTGGAGTTTCCCTGAACCTTTATTCACTTTACCAGAATGTACCGATTGTGAACACTTTTTCTATCATTTTCTTTATCTTTTTTTTTTTTTTTTTGTTTTTTTTTGTTTTGAGATGGAGTTTCACTCCTTACCCAGGCTGGAGTGCAATGGCGCGATCTCGGCTCACTGCAACCTTCACCTCCTGGGTTCAGGCAATTCTCCAGCCTCCTGAGTAGCCGGGATTACAGGCACGTGCCACCATGCCCAGCTAGTTTTTTATATTTTTAGTAGAGACAGGGTTTCACTATGTTGACCAGGATGGTCTCGATCTCTTAACCTCGTGATCCACCCGCCTCGGCCTCCCAAAGTGCTGAGATTACAGGCGTGAGCCACTGCGCCCGGCCCCCATTTTCTTTATCTTTCTAAAACCAAATATCTGATCTTGAAACTTACATGTCTGTATAAGAAAATATAAAAAGTAGATTTCCAAAATATAGAGCAGGCCAGGCACTGTAGCTCATCCCTGTAATTTCTGCACTTGGGGGAGGCTGAGACAGGCAGATCACTTGAGTCCCAGAGTTCAAGACCAGCCTGGCCAACATGGTGAAACTCTGTCCCTAGAAAAAATACAAAAATTAGCCAGGCATGGTGGTGCCCTCGCCTGTAGTCCCAGCTACTTGGAAGGCTGAGGTGAAAAGATAGTTTGAGCCTGGAAGGCAGAAGTTACAGTGAGCTGAGATGGAGCCACTGCACTCAAGCCTGAGCAAAAGAGTGAGACCCTGCATCAAAAGAAAGAAAACAACAAGAAAAGAAATAAAAGAAGAAAAGAAAAAAAAATCTGGGGTGGGGTAAGGGTGAGGGGATCTTATCAAGGAAATCATATAATAAAGCTTCCCAGAACTAAAGAATAATGTAAGTTTCCAGATTGAGGGAGTCTGGCACAGCCCTGAAGAGAAGTATGAAGAAACCATTAGCAGCTCCAACCCCCTGCTGCTACACAGAAATATGAGTCCCACGTTGAGATTTATCCTGATTTTTTCAAAAAGAAGAAAAATCAAAATGTTAATGAAAACACTTCTAATTTATAAATGGGCCAGGCACGGTGGCTCACACTGTAATCCCAGCACTTTAGGAGGCCGAGGTGAGCGGATCACCATCACCTGAGGTCAGGAGTTTGAGACCAGCCTGGCCAACATGGCAAAAACCTGTCTTTACTAAAATTAGAAAAATTAGCTGGGCATGGGGACTCAGCCTGTAATTCCCAGCTACTCGGGAGGCTGAGGCACGAGAATCACTTGAACCCAGGAGATGGAAGTTGCAATGAGGTGAGATTGTGCCACTGCACTCCAATTTGGGTGACAGAGCAAGACTCCACCTCACATAACAATAATGTGTAAATGATGGCTGAAATTAAACACACCTGGCCACACAAGCATGAAAGTAGGGAAGGATGGGGTCATATGGAGGTTAGGCTATGGTGTATATGAAGAGTACTTGGGGCCGTGAAGTCTGGAAAGGTAGAACGACACAGAGCACAGAAAGCCAGAAGCCAGGGGAGGTTTGAGTATGAACTTTGACAGGAGAGGGAGGGGTTGATGACCTGAGAGCAGAGTGCAATGTCACCGGAGACCTTAATGTTGGGAAAATTAATCTGACTGTGGTATAGAGATGGATGGGCAGTGGGAAGGGGGATGAAAAGCAAGAAAATCCGTTAGAAAGTCACAGCAATAAAAAGGAGGACCTACACCAAGGTGGAATTTTCAGTTTTTGGAATGCCTGGAAGTCACTGTGCTCTGTATTGAATAAAAAAGAAGGGAATGAAGAAGGGAGGAAAAATAAAGGAAAAAAGTTCATGTGTGATTCTATAATATAAACTATGATTTAGTAAATAAAATTCCCTTTTTGTGCCATGAAACACAATATGAGCAATATAATCAACAGTACATTGTCCTTGAGACCACAATCAATTTTAGCTGATTCTGTTCTCATGAACAGACCTTTTGAAATTTATTATAACTGTTCATTTTTTAACTTGATAAAAGAATTTTTTTCCTGCTACCAGTTGAGTGATTAAGCTAACTTCAAATGTTTTTTGAAAAGGTATAGAAAATTTCTTTAGAAAAACATATTAACATAATTTTAGCAAATGAATTAATAAAAACTATCATTCTATCTTATGAGAGGAACCCAGGTCCAAATCTCTGCCAGAATATCAAATTAATGGCAATAATTTCATATCATTAATTGGAAATTAAATTCGTAATGAATTGATACCTAAAAGCAAAAAGAACTACTGCCATTTATTAAGCAGTCGTGCATTTTAGAATGTACGTATTATCATCTCTTTTTTTAATTGATAAGGAAGTTGTACTTAGAGAAATGAAGTAAATTGCCTTAGGTTGAAAAGTGCTGAAGAGCGTTGGAATTCCCAGGCATGCCTGTCTGATGTGAATGTCAGGTTTCTACACTACACTGCTTCTAGTTGTAGGGAATGTTTCCTATTTAATAGAGCAACTACAACGGTTCTCTTCAATAATAAATTCTCATCCGGCAACTTTCACATTCAGGATTTCATCCCGCCAAACTCCTATGCATTCAGATGTTTTAAAAGCGGTTAGTGGGGCTGGGGGCAGTAGCTCATGCTTCCTGTAATCCCAGCACTTTGGGAGGCAGAGGCGGGTGGATCTCAAGGTCAGGAGTTCGAGGCCAGCCTGACCAACATGGTGAAACCCTGTCTCTACTAAAAATACAAACATTAGCTGTATGTAACCTCCACCTCCCGGGTTCAATCGATTCTCTTGCCTGGGGCTAAGGCAGGAGAATCGCTTGAACCCGGGAGATGGAGGTTGCAGTGAGCTGAGATCGTGCCACTGCACTCCAGCCTGGCAACAGAGCGAGACTCCATCTCAAAAATAAATAAATAAATAAATAAAAATAAAAGAAAGAAGTGAGATACTGCTTCCGACTCAACCCTGGCCCGCGCTCCCGAACATGGGTTATTTGCACGAAACCCCGCAGGCAGCTTTTAGAGCCACAGTCGCTTAGGCTGGAGTCAGACTTTATCACCTCCTGGCTCTGCCATCACCAGCAAGGAGCCTGTTTCCTCCTTGGCAAAAGGGAATGACCAAGGGCCCACCTTACAGGGTTGTGGCAACGGGATTATGGAATTATACACACCAAGTGGTTACCACAGGGCCCGCCACTGGCGGAAGATGAGATAACGTGGATGGAGAGGAAAGCAGAGTGTCGGCTGCTGGGAACCAGGGCCGGAGGCGGGGATGGGGGGCGGGCAAGGGCGCAGCGGAAAGGGTGGGCGAGGGATCCGTGTCCCACCCCGCCAGGTCGCAGCTCGGCTCCTGCGAGCTTCCGCCGAGACCGCCCCCCGGGAAGCCGTGTTTCCTTCCTGCAGTGGCGGCCCCGCGTGGGGCACGGAGGGGCTGGCGCGCCCAGAGGCTGCAGGCCTTCCCGAGGGCGCGCCCGCAGCGCGCTCCGCCCCGGAAACACGTCCCCTCCGCCTCGGCGCGCTTTCCAAACACTCGGGTGTCCTCGCTTCCCGCTGCTTAGGGAGCTTCGTTCTTGCCCGCCAAACCCGCAGCCACCTGGGCGCTGCGATGAAGAGGACCCGCGAGGAGGTGGATGCCACGCTGCTGATCGCCAAGCTGGACGCGGCCGAGCTGCTGCCCGCCGTGCACTGCCTGAGCTTCGGCCCGGGGGCCAGCGGTGCTGCCGCCGGCGACTTCTGCCTGCTGGAGCTGGAGCCCACGCTGTGCCAGCAGCTGGAGGATGGACACAGGTGAGCCCTGGACACGCCGCGCCTCCAACCTCGGGCCGGCCACGTTATGGTCTCAACGGGGAAACTCGGGATGAGGAAACAGGACCAGAGGAATGCACTGATTTTTTTTTTTTTTTGGCGGGAGCTCATAACAAGCTGCCTTTTCCCTAGGAGTCCACGCCTCCGGTGGACCGTCCAGTTAGCTGCATTGCGGTGATGAGTAGCACTGGTCCAGCTGACCGTGGAGGCGTGTGTCAGCGGCACCAGGTCAGGAAATACGAATACAACCCCATGAAGTGTTGTAAGAGTTACTGGTGATTACAGGGACTCTACAGAACACCTGCCATTCTACCTGAAAATACAATTGTGATATCCAATATTTATAGAGCTCTTGCCTTCCACTTACATTTATTTTACTCAGATAATAGGAAGTGCTGAGTTGGGTGAGACCTCCACCCACCCCAAAGCAAACTTTCTTGGAGTCACTCATCAGGGATCTGAAGCTGTTTCTAATTCCTGGTCAGATACAGACTTGCTGCAAGATCATTGATTAAAAGTCCAAGTTGAGGTAGTTTTTTAAAGGCAGTCTTGAGAAGTCTAGAGAGTCGTATCCCTCCACCCTGTGCAGTCCCAACTCCTGCAAAATAGGAATCTCCAGCTTGATTGTCTGCACAACTGGTCCTCAGACACCTATATTTTATTAGGCGATTCTTTCTCTCTCTTTTTTTTTTTTTTTGAGATAGAGTCTTGCTCTGTCACCAGGCTGGAGTGCAGTGGTACGATCTCAGCACACTGCAACCTCCGATTCCTGGGTTCAAGTGATTCTTCCTCCTCGGTCTCCCAAGTAGCTGGGAATACAGGCACGCGCCACCACGCCTTGCTAATTTTTGTATTTTTAGTAGAGATGGAGTTTCACCATGTTGGCCAGGATGGTCTTGAACTCCTGACCTTGTGATCCGCCCACCTCAGCCTCCCAAAGTGCTGGGATTACAGGCATGAGCCACTGTGCCTGGTGTTCTTTTTTTCTTAATGGAATCCTTTAGGCTTTGAATTTTTGTACTTTGCCCACCAAAGAGTGGTACGGTAAGCTGGCCATTCTTCAGACACCTACTATATACCTCAAAGTATCTTTAACAGAAATGAATGAATGTCACTCCTCTGTTTCCATCTCAGCTCAGTTGGCGGAGAGTTGAGAACTGAGGTGTGAGGATTTTCTCTCGGTCCAGTTCTAGTTCATCCACCTGGCAAAAAAAAAAAAAAAAAAAAACGAACAGGACCTGGTAATGTGTGTTTTTAATTTTGGGGTGTGGGAAGGGATGAAATAAACAAAATGTTTCAAAGTGGGGATAGTGCAGTTAGAAGTCAATGTTAAATACTAGGTACTTTGGGCCTATTAAGTATTATTGGCACTGGAAGTTTAAAAAACCTTTTATTCTTTTCACTTAAATGAAGACAGTAAAACATAAATACATAGTCTGCTGTTTCAGGTTTCTTATTATTTTTTCAAAAGAAACAAGTTGTGCACAGGAGAGCTAAATGCTTTACAAACAAGGAAAACGGCTAAAATCAACTTCCTTGTCATTGCCATTATCTTAGTCTTTAGTGCTTCCTTTTCCTCCTCTTCACCTTCATCCTTTTCCTCTTCCTTCCTTTTTTTTTTTTTTTTTTTTTTTCCTGAGACATAGTCTCCCTCTGTAGCCCAGACTGCAGTGCAGTGGTGTGACCTCAGCTCACTGCAACCTCCTCCTCCCAGGTCCTGGTTCAAGCAATTCTCCTGCCTCAGCTTCCTGAGTAGCTGGGACTACAGGTACGCGCCACCATGCCCAGCTAATTTTTGTATTTTTAATAGAGATGGGGTTTTACCATGTTGGCCAAGCTGGTCTTGAACTCCTGACCTCGTGATCTGCCAGCCTCGGCCTCCCAAAGTGTTGGGATTACAGGTGTGAGTCACTGCGCCCTCTTTCTTCTTTTCTGTCTTTTCTTTGGGGAGAAGGTGATGGGAACATGGTCTCACTGTCCACCAGGCTGGAGTAGAGTGGCGTAATTACGGCTCACTGCATGATGGTGCTGTAGCAGGAGCAGTGGGGAACAAACCTCTTGAACACCAAATTGAGGAAGGAAGTGGCTTTTTATTCAGCCAGGAGCCGCGGTGGGCAATAGCCTCATTCACCGATCTCCCTGAGCTGCACCTTTTCTCCCCTTTTATAGGCTTACAACACTAAATGGGAAACTGAGGCAGAACTATGTCACTGTCCACTTGCTGGACATCTGACCTTACAATCTTTTGGCTTCATTGATTTGCTAATTCATATGCAGCCTGAGTGGAGACCAGCAAGGGAAAGGGGGCTTACAGAGACAAGGCAATAGCAAGAAGCTGTTTGTTGGCAGAGGTATTTCCAGTAGGAAGCCTGGCCCGTGGAGACATGCGGGTGTGAACCAGGGGCGGGCTCCAGCCGGCAGGGATAACATTCATTTGTAGCTCTTTCAAGGTTAACGGATAGCAGAGATGCTGAGAACTAAAGAGGGAGTCATTTTCCCAGCTTTTTGGTATTTTATTTTCTTTATTTTCCTTCTTCACTCTCCTTTCCATCTGGAAGTCTGGGAGAGAAAGAGGTGAAATTGAAGGAGGCGAGAGGGTCTCCCTTCTCAGTGCCACTGCTACTTGGGCTCAGGTGATCCTCCCACCAGCCTCCTGAGTAGCTGGGACTTCAGGTGTACACAACCACGCCCAGCTAACTTTTAAGTTTTTTCTTCTGTAGAGATGGGGTCTTGCTATGTTGCCCAGGCTGGTCTCAAACTCCTGGTCTCATGCGATCTTCTGGCCTCAGCCTCCTAAAGTGCTAGGATTACAGGCATGAGCCACTGCGTCCTTGCCTTTCTTCAGCCGTGACAAAATCCCTTTGTCAAGGTCTTATTTTGTCCACGCTGTAAACATATCCTTTTCATGGTTTTCATTCAGCAATGCATCCTTTTTTTTCATAAGGTCCCAAGTTTTTTTGCAACACAAATTATGGTTAGGCCAGGATGTGCTCCTTTGATTGTGAGAGAAGACTCAAGGATGACGCTCGGGTGGGTACCAGGAGCAGTAGCTTGGCCATCCTTGGGGATCTTGTTAGAAATACGGGACCCTGGGTCCCATCTCAGACCCACTGAACCCCACTCTGCTTTTGAACAACATTCTCTCAGATGCCTATTCGTAAGTTTAAGAAGTACGGCTTTAGCATGTTGTAGAAAATTGTGGCAGCTTGACTGAAGCTTCTGGATGCTTCCTTTTGTGCTCTTCCCAGCAGTTTGCACGACGATGCCATGTAGTGCCATTTGGCCTCTTGGCCTCTGTGTATCTGTCTTGCCCATCTTTATTTTTCCTTAATGAGGCTCCAGGGCGTCAGGGTCCCTGTGGCTCTCAGTTGGTCCAGAGCTTGCTGCATGGAATCCATCATTGTGCCAGCCGGGGGCAGAGGCAGCATCGAAACTTAATTCTAGAGTTCCTGTCGGGCAGAGAGCCCATAGAGACGCAGAGCACGGAGAGCTGCCCCAGGGCCCTCCAGGCCCTCCGGCCCAGGCGCGGGTGAGCTGGGGGACCCCGGGCCGGCGGGTGAGCTGGGGGGCCCTGGGACAGGCCAGGCCCTCTGCCCTGAAGACACCGGAGGCCTCCGCTGTAGCTGCCCACTGGCCAAGCCCAGGCCTTCAAGCCGTGGCGAACCTCTCTTCCCCACCCCACCTCGGTGACTGATGGCGGCGGCGGCCTCTCCCAGCCCGAACTGGCCGCCTGGTATCCCGGCCCGAGCCTGCCGGGCCCCCACTGAGCTGCTGGGACGCAGCACCTTTGGGTGGCGGTGGGAGTGGCAGGCCAGGAAACATGGCAGCCACTCGAACGCCGCGTGGCAGAGGTCATTAGGTCACAGAGGGCCCGGGAAGGCGGCCTAGGGACGCAGGCAGGCTCGGCCACCTCTGGGCCACGGAGCTGCGCAGATCCAGGTCCCGGTGACCACTCTGTCCCCATCGGGCGAGACCTGCCTAGTCCTGATGACAACGGACAAAGGCCTTAACGGGCCTGGGAGGTGAGCGAAGTTCCGAACGTCGATGGGTGGAATGGTTAGTCGTCATCGGGATGGTTGGTCTTCGTTCTACCAAACTTTGCTGTCGCAAGAAAGAAACGGCAGAATGACAGGCCATGTTTGGCCCGCTGGTGATGCCCACCACCCTCTGGGAAGACTTACTGGCCGTTTATGGAAGGCCTGTGTATGTAATATGAAAAAGCTGCTCTCAACTCCACCCCAACCTTTTAATAGAAAACATTTGTCACATCTAGCCCTTCTAGATGTAAAGAGGTTGCCAACATATGATAGAGTTAGAAAATCACACATCTTGTAAATTTTCGTTTGTTTAAAAGAAATCATAGAAAATACATGTCTTCTGGAGATTACCTTTGGAAATGGAGTTGCCAGGTGGCCTCTGGAAGCAATAGTCCACGTTTGTTCAGTGGGTTAGATGACATGGAGCTGGAAGACCTGAGAAGTAGGAAAAGGTTCTATGCTAGACTGGTCACATTTAGAAGACATTTTCATATTCTAGCCATTGTTTTGTGTGCATTTTATTCCTCAGTCCTGTATATATAGTTGACAATGCTAAACTTTTTTGAAATGTCTGTTCTTTTTAGATGTTCTGAAGTGCGTGATATATGTTAAAATTAGAGATGGTAAAATCACATTTTGTAAATATCTTTTTGTTATAATTCATAGGAAATGTTGTTTTTGGGGGGGGAAATGGCCGAATCACCTGTTGAGTAATACTCACTGTGTGGTTAGCTGGGGGCGCGCGGGCAGGAAGGTGCAGAGAGCTCTACGCCACCCTGCTTACAACGAGGCCAATGAATCATCTCCGTGCATTTTGTTTTACTTACCTGTGTGTATGGTGTACATAAAGGACAAACGAGGCCTAATTTACAACATCTAGTCTTTCTAGATGTTAAAGAGGTTGCGTAGAGCTAGTAAACTAATGTTTTGTACATTTTGTTTTAGAAGTCTAGGAAAGGTTGTCTTCTGAAAATTTGAGCATTCTTGCCCACTGAGTTGATGGAGATGGGAAGGGTTCTAGGCCAGAATGTTCACATTTGGAAGACTCTTTCAAATTTTCACTGTTGTTACATGTTTACAGTTTATTCAAGACTGCTGTGTACATAGTGGACAAATTCCTTACTTGAAACATCTAGTCTATCTAGACGTTTAGAAGTGCCCAATGTATGTTAAATGTAGAGGTAGTAAAATACCACTTTGTAAATATCTTTTTGCTAAAATTCATAAGAAATACTTTTGGAAATTGAATTGTGAAGCCACCTTTGTGAACAGGATAGTACTGTCTATACTTGTTCAATGGTTTACAGGAGGTAGGAGGGGAGAAATTGCAAAAGGCAATATGCTAGTATGTTCATACATGGGCATTTTCAGACACCATTTTTCTGTATGTTTTGTGCATTTTGTTTTGCTCCGTAGACAGTGTATGTAATGGACAATGAGACCTAATTTTTCAACATCTAGTCTCTAGATGTTAAAGAGGTTGACAGTGTTATGACAAACTATTTAGGAAAATCAGCATATTTTGTACACTTTGTGTTGAAATTCATAGGAAAACTCGTCTTCTGTAAATGACTTTTGCAGAGAAATTTGTTCAGCCATCTCTAAGCATTACACCTGTCTGTATTTGTCCACTGGATGGAAGGCAGAGAAGGAAGAGAGAAGGGAATGATTCAAGGCTAAAATGGTCACATGTAGAAGATACCTCAGATGATAACCATGGTTATGTGTGTGCAATTTTGGTTACCAGTGCTGTGTACGTGTTGGACAAGTTATGTGAAGTATCTAATCTTTCTAGATAGTTGGAAGTACTTGATGTATTTAAAAGTAGTAGTAGAATAATACTTTTTGTAAATAGTTTTTAAAAACTGATGGGAAATGCTGTTGGGAAGTGGAATTGTTTGAACCACCTGGGAGGTGGGAGGGAAAAAATTGCAAAAGGTGTTTTGCCACTATTTGTTAGAAAATTTCACTTAATCCATTGCCTATATGTTGCATGCATTTCATTTAACTTTTCTATACTGTATATATTGTATATATACTGGACAAGTGAGTCCCAATTTTATAATATCTAGTCTCTAGATATTAAAGAGGTTGCCAATGTATGACAGAAGTAGAGTTAGTAAACTAACACATTGTGTACACTTTCTTAAAATTCATAGAAAGGCTGTCTTCTGAAAAAGACTTTTGGAAGTGAAATTACATCAGCTTTAAGTGACACGTGCCTATATCCACCAGGTTGGTGGTGGAGAGGAGCTGGAACTAATGAACAGTTCTAGACCAGAATGTTCCTATTTAGAAGACACTTTTCAGATATAACCATTGTTACTTGTGTGCAGTTTATTCAACAGTACTGTATATATAGTGGACAAACTTTAAGTCCTAATTTGAAACATCTAGTCTTTCTAGATGTTTAGAAGTGCACAAAAAATGTTAAAAGTAGAGGTAGTAAATAACACATTTTGTAGCTATCCTTTTGATATGAAGTATCGTCTTTTGGAAATTGATCAATTCTCTGAGCAGTAGACATTAAGATATTTGTGCAATTTTGGGGGAAGGAGGAGTGCAAGGGGCTTTCTACCAATGCGTTTATGATGAGGCACATTTGCCATTGTCCCTTACATCTGCATTTTCATTTACTGTGCTGTATATACAGTGTATTATAAGCGGACGTAAGACTCCTAATATACATGTAGTCAATGTTAAAGAGGTTGCCAGTGTATAACAGAAGTAGAATTAGTAAACTCATACATTGAGTACACTTTGTGTTAGATATCATAGAGAAGTCTTCTTAAAAACAGATGTGAAATTGTTAAAATCCTCTCAGCATTACAGTTGGCTGATAGTTTTTCCATGGAGTTAACAGAGGTCGGAAAGGGAAGGGGGTTCTAGGCCAGAATGTTCCCATTACGGTCCGTGTTATGTATATATACCATTTATTCAATGCTACTGTGTGTATAATGGAAAAGTTAAGTCCAGATTGAAACATCTAGTCTTTCTAGGTGTTTAAAAGGGCACCACATAGGTTAAAAGTAGAGGGCTAAAGTAACACCCCTCTAAGCATTTGTTTTCATTACTTCCTAGGAGTGATGGGTTGCATTTGGGAATGGAATTGTTAAAACTTGATGTTTAGGAGCTTATGCTGACTATTCATTGGGTGGCATTGGGTGGGGTAGGAGGAGGTATGCAGGGAAAAGGGTTCTGTGACCCTGAGATTAGTTCAGCTGGTCTAACCATTGTTTTATATGTGTATTTTAGTTATTATTGTGTATTAAAGAATAAACAAGTTTTAAAGCTCAAAGTATGCTAAAAATAGATGTAGTAAATCAGTGCCTTTATGAATGTCCTTTTGTTAGTTTTTAGGAAGGCCTTTCTTCTGGGAGTGAGCTTTATAGTCCACCTCTTGGAGCTAGACGTCCTACACTTGGTCACTGGGGATGGTGGAAGGGGGTGAAGGGAAGGGCTCTTTGCTAGTATCTCCATATCTAGAAGATGGTTTTAGATGATAAGCACAGGTCTGTATGAGCATTTTTAGTAAAGTGCCTGTGTTTATTGTGGACAAAGTTCATTATTTTGCAACATCTAAGCTTTATGAATGTCTGGGGTGACAACGTAGGATAAAAACTAGAGTTAATGAATTAGCCAGTTTGTAAATACCTTCGTTATAATCAATAGAAAGGATGCATCTTGGACATGGAATTGTTAAACCACCTCTGAGCAGTCTATGTCAGGACTTGTTCGTTAGGTTGGCAGCAGAGGGGCAGAATGAAGTATAAAGGGAGAGATGTGTGCAGATGTGTCCAGTGTCCGCATGTGTCCATATTTATGTTTTGATGATAGCCATTGATGTATGCATCCTCTTTTGGCTGTACTATAGGGATACATTAAGTACTTCAATGGAAATATACCTTGCTAATATTTTAATGGTATAGATCTGCTAATGAATTCTCTTAGAAACATGCTTAGTGTATTCTGTATACCGTAAGGGTGGCCGAGAGAAAGGAGAATAGACCCAAAGTCAGGCAAGCAAGTTTTATTAATCTGCTGGGCTGCTCTGTAACAATCAGAGGAGGCAGCCCCTGAGCTTACAAAACGGGGGTTTATATGGAGTGAGAGGGGAATAAGGGAGTTTCAGGACTGAGGTAAGCTATCCGCTGGTAACAGACACAGAGATTGTTTGTCAACTTGTAACAGAACTACGATACATTATCCTGTGACTTTTGTGGTGGCGGTTTTGTTTAAAAAGAGAAACCAGGATTCTTTTACAGATATGTGTCAAACAGGAATTTACAAGTATGGATACAAACATTTGTTTTCCCTGTCCTCCTTCCAGCTGCCGGGATGGCTGTAATCAGGCTTTGCTTAATTGTAGCACATCTGGCAGCCTTGATGTGGTGCCTTGGTAGGGGTTCAGGAATGCAGCTGCAGAGCAATCAGAGTGTGGGGAAGGGGTCAGCTTACGCAGAAGGGGTTTTCTGAGGCAGCTTGTCCCTAACATATACTTAGTGTATTCTGTTACTGTATGTTTCATTTTAAACTGAGCATTAAGAGAATGTAGTATTTAAATTGGAACCCTGCCAATGCTTTTTTCTAGAGGCGTGTTGCCATTTTTGTCTTCTATGAAATTTTTATCCCAAGACAGGGAGGATTACATTTTTTTTTAACAGATTGAGTTGGTGTAGTGTATTCTTGGTTATCAAAATACTCATATAACTTTGGGATTTTGAATTGGTAAATATTCATGACCTGAAAAATCATGATACATACTGTACGATCTCAGTCCCATAAAATTGGATGTTGTGCCTACACACTCACAGGACCTTGAAGAACATGTCAAACTATAAACTGTTTGTGATTGTGAGTGACTTTGTTCTTTGCTTCTTGTGTTTTTCAGTTTCCTCTAACGCACTTAACTTTTTAAAAATAAAGGTTATTTTAAAAACTTAGAAAAGGACTTAATTCTAAGTTCTGTAAGCCTAGAGGGTTTGACAACTGTTTATAATGAAAATGACTAGTGGAGCGTCAATAAACCGTATATTTTCACCCCGTTTTGCTACAGTCTGGTGATTCGTGGTGATAAAGACGAGCAAGCTGTGCTGTGCAGTAAAGACAAAACGTACGACTTGAAGATAGCAGACACTTCCAATATGCTGCTTTTCATTCCTGGTTGTAAAACGCCAGACCAGCTGAAGAAGGAAGAGGCGCACTGTAACATTATTCACACTGAGGTGCTCTGTTCTGTACTCTGATTTATAGCAGTCTGAGAATGAAAACAGATGTGGTAATCTGGTCTTTAGTGAAAAACTTGAGGTGTAAGATCTATAATCAGGGAGAATCAAGAAGTTCTTTAAAGAAATTTGACTTTCTCAGCATTATTATGATTATTATTGCTTTTTTGTTGGAGTCTTGTGAACTTGTCTGTTTTTTCCTGTTTTGATTTTCAAGTCCCAGACAATTTGACCTTTTTTCTGTAATGTGCAGTTTGTTATTTAGTGACTCATTCTAAAACTTCTACCTATTTTTAGTAGATTTTTGCTGTGGATGTGTTTAGAAAGGAGACTCCTTCAAACCATAACTGGTTCATTTAGTAATATTTATGAGGTGGAGAAATGAAGAAATTTGGGCCAGCTGTGGTGGCACATATCTGTAATCCTGGCACTTTGGGAAGCCAAGACAGGTGGATTTCCTGAGCTCGGGAGTTTGAGACCAGCCTGGGCAACACGGTGAAAACCCGTCTCTACCAAAATACAAAATATTAGCCGGGCATGGTGGTGTGCGCCTGTAGTCCCAGCTACTTGGGAGGCTGAGGCAGGAGAACTGCTTGAACCCAGGAGGCGGAGGTTGCAGTGAGCTGAGATCATTACACTACACTCCATCCTGGGCAACAGAGCTAGACTCTGTCTCCAAAAAAAAAAAAAGAAATAAAGAAATTTGAGTTTTTGAATGAAGTGTGTTTCTTAGCTATGAGGCTGGTTTAGTTCATTAATATCGGTAGCCAACTATAACAAATTTTTAATTATTTTGGAGAATACTGATGGTGGTAACCAAACAAGTCTCCATTCTGTCCAAGCTGTTACACATATAACAATGCAGCCATAGCCCTTATTTCTTTGAGAATGACTTTAAGCCAACTATATCCTTAAATAGAGAATTGGAGAGGAAAGAAGGGAAAATGCTGGAAAGTTTCAGTGATTCATGTAATGTTTCTAGAACAGAGGAACTTCCAGTAAATAGTCTACGTTGGGTTTTGTAGAGTTTTTTTTAAGTCTTTCATTGTAATTAACTAAAAATATTGGCAGTTCATCCTTTTGTAAAAAAGTAATGTTATTTTTTCATCACTTACCTGTTCTGTAGGTGCTTTTGTGAGGACATAATAATACCTATGGGAATCTTTGAGCTCTTGCTTGTTATGAAAATTCTATGTACTGAGATTGGCTAAAATGTAGATACACAGCCGGGCGCGGTGGCTCAAGCCTGTAATCCCAGCACTTTGGGAGGCCGAGGCGGGTGGATCACGAGGTCAAGAGATCGAGACCATCCTGGTCAACATGGTGAAACCCCGTCTCTACTAAAACTACAAAAAATTAGCTGGGCATGGTGGCGCGTGCCTGTAATCCCAGCTACTCAGGAGGCTGAGGCAGGAGAATTGCCTGAACCCAGGAGGCGGAGGTTGCGGTGAGCCGAGATCGCGCCACTGCACTCCAGCCTGGGTAACAAGAGCGAAACTCCGTCTCAAAAAAAAAAAAAAAAAAAAAAAGTAGATACATTAACCAAAGGTATAATCCGTGATTGAACCTTAGGTGCTTAAAGGGGTTAGATAAGAAATAGGCTGGGGTTGATAAATGGTGGTAGATAGCCAGGAATAATGGAGTGGTTGGATCTACAGCAAGTTGGAAAGCACAATCTGCATGTAGGTAGATGCCACTACTCAGCTGCCTGTGGGAAAGTAGGCCCAGCATTGCTCGACTTTTGATTTTTTTTTTTTTCCAAGTAATTACTGAAATTTAGATTTTTGGGGTGAAATCTCCTATTTTTTTTTTTTTTTAAATGTTGGCATCTAATTGAAACACTATGCCAAACCTCCCCAGTACACAAAAGCATACCACAACATCTGTGTATTGGATGTAGCCAGAGGGCTGCCATTTTTTTGTTTTGCTTTGTGTTTTTCTGAGGCTCTCATACAACAGCAAACCACTTTTAACTATGGATAAAATCAGTCTGTCTGATTTGGTCCTTAAGCTCTTCTTTTGAAGGCCTTAGATTCAGCAACATCTCCTTCAGTTTCTAGGCCTCATCTTGTCAATCAAGCCTTATCCTAGTTTGAAAGTGGAAGCATCCCCTGTCCTTCCATTTCAGAGTTAGAGGGCATCCCACAGATAATCCAGCTTAGCCTCTTTTTTCCTTTTATGAAACACTTATTGGGCATCTACTCCATGCTGGGAACTAGGCAAGTCCTGTATGTACAGGCAGGGATAACAGATATTCATCCATTCTCTAGCTTCTATCAACTGGATTTTGAGTGGTAGGCCTCTCACGATTTCACAACTCCAGCAATGGAATTAGCTGCAGTTCTAAACAGTAGTAATGTCTTGGGTTAATCAGAAATCTCTGTCCCTTAACTTCTGCCTCATTTTGACATGAGCAACACAAGGGTACATCCTCTTTGCTTTAAAATCCCTATTTAGGCCAGGCGCGGTGGCTCAAGCCTGTAATCCCAGCACTTTGGGAGGCGGGGGCGGGTGGATCACGAGGTCAAGAGATCGAGACCATCCTGGTCAACACGGTGAAACCCCGTCTCTACTAAAAATACAAAAAATTAGCTGGGCATGGTGGCTCGTGCCTGTAATCCCAGCTACTCAGGAGGCTGAGGCAGGAGAATTGCCTGAACCCAGGAGGCGGAGGTTGCGGTGAGCCGAGATCGCGCCATTGCACTCCAGCCTGGGTAACAAGAGCGAAACTCCGTCTCAAAAAAAAAATAAAATAAAATAAAAATAAAATCACTATTTAAAGACTATGATAATACCTTTTCTCTTTTTTTTTTCTCTTTTTTGTGTCTTAAGTATATCCATTTTTAGTTGTTTCCACCTGGTTTGCAGAATTGTCACCATCCTGATCATTTTTTCTGGGGCATAACTCTAGTTTTCAGAGTACATTTGAGATTCTTACAATCTTGGCAGTGTCTTATTAATGGAATTTGAAAAGATGTTCTTGAGGATGCCCATCCATCTAGTGGAGATGGTTGGATAAATACCTTCCTGATACAAAGCAGAATACCTTGGGGCTTCCTTTTCTCCATACTTGTTGAGGGGGCAGATTGATTAGCTGGAATTTTATATGAAATTTTCTTTTAGAATGGCCCCTAAAAGTTTGTGATATATTATAATTTCTAGATCTTTGGTTTTTCTAATAATTATTGGGAATTAAGAAGATGTAGACCTAAGTTAAAGAAGCTAAAGAAACTTTTGATGGAAAATCCGTATGAAGGACCTGACAGTCAAAAAGAGAAGGATTCAAATTGCTCAAAAGTAAGACTCTTATTTTTACTTTTTTATTTGAAATTTAACAACTATAATCAGAGGCACTTAGTGGTCACATTCTTACTTTTTAAAATTTATGTTACATAGCTGTTAAATGCCTGTGTTAAAAGTTACAAAATTTCAAGCATACCCAAAAGCAGACAGAGCAGTATAATGACCCATATATTCGACATTCACTTGAACAATTAAGGTCTTGTCAGTCTTGTTTCTTCTATCCCCTTTTTATCCTTCCATCTTTTTTTTCTAGAGTATTTTGAAGCAAATCCTATACATCATAATGCCATGTATATAGCTAAAAGCTTCCCCTACCCCCTCAGCCCCTGGCAACCACCATTTGACTATCTCTATAAATTTGACTGCTCTTAATACCTCAGATAAGTGAATCATGGTATTTGTCCTTTTGTGGTGATGGTGTTTTGAAGTACAAAAGATTATTATTTTGATGATGTGGCTTGATCTATTTTTTTTTGTTTTTGTTGCTTGGGTTTTTGGTGTCATATTTAATTTTCATATTTTCCAGTGTCATGAAGATTTACCTCTATTTGTTTTATAAGGCATCCATTGATTTTTGTGTAGAAATCATTATACATTAACAAAAGAAACTGAGCTAATGCATAAATATTGCCTTAATCTGTTCTGTGTATTTAGTCCCCAAAATACAGCAAGAAATTTAAAAAAAAAAAAATTAATCTTCAAGGATCTTAAAATTTTTTTTTCTTTTTTTCAGTATACAACTGAAGATTTGCTTGATCAAATTCAGGCAAGTGAGGAAGAAATAATGACCCAATTACAAGTTCTAAATGCCTGTGAAATTGGAGGTAGCGTTACTTACTACTATTATAACAATTATGAAATTGGGGTCATAAGGGAGAGAAGTTTTTGGACATCTTCGACCTATTGCGTATAGTTTATTTAATATTCCTTTGGGTTTAAGGATGGTGTCATTTGGGCTCAGCGTGATGGCTTACGCCTGTAATCCCAGCACTTTGGGAAGCTGAGGGGTGCGGATCACTTGAGGCCAGGAATTTGAGACCAGCCTGGCCAACATGGTGAAACCTCATCTCTACTAAAAATACAAAAATCAGTTGGTTATGGTGGCATGCACCTGTAATCCTGGCTACTCGGTCAGCTGAGGCATGAGAATCGCTTGAACCCAGGAGGCAGAGAGGTTGCAGTGAGCCAAGGTAGCACCACTGCACTCCAGCCTGGGTGACAGAGTGAGACTCCGTCTCAAAAAATAATAATAATAGCTTCATTGTTATTTCCAAACTGCTTGGAAGATGTGACTGTGTTTCATTTAGTAATGACTCAACATATTTTTGAACATGTTAGTTTTATAATAAGCCTGTATAAAAAATATGGGAGCATGTGTTAGGGCATGGGATTGATGGAAAAGCCCTGTGATATTTTTAGTATTTTGACTGGCCTCTACTCTGGAGTCAGAGCTTTTTTATTTTATTTTATTTTTTGACGGAGTCTCGCTCTGTTATCCAGGCTAGAGCGCAGGTGTGCGATCTCAGCTCACTGCAAACCTACACCTCCCAGATTCAATTGATTCTCCTGCCTCAGCCTCCTGAGTAGCTGGGGTTACAGGTGCATGCCACCATGCCCAGCTAATTTTTGTGTTTTTAGCAGAAACAGAGTTTTGCCATGTTGGCCAGGCTGGTCTTGAACTCCTGACCTCAGGTGATCCACCCGCCTCGGCTTCCCAAAGTGCTGGGATTACAGGCGTGAGCCACACTGCCCATCCCTAAAGCTTTTTTTTTTGAAAGGCAAATCAAACCATGTATTTTAATACAGCCCTGTGCAGTATTAACCTGCAGCATGGGGATGGATACAGTTTTCGTAGGGGGATGTGTAGATTACTTCTTGCTCTCTTCCTCAGATTTACATCACACAATTCATTTTTAAAATGTTGCCTTTATGTTTTCAGAGTAAGAATAGAAACATTCTCCCTTAGAAATGGTGGATATATACTTTTCTTTCACTGAGGTAGTGGTTGTGCCGTATCAATTATAAAATGGCATTTCATGGCCGGGCATGGTGGCTCATGCCTGTGGTCCCAGCACTTTGGGAGGCTGAGGCAGGCAGATCATGTGAGGTCAGGAGTTCAAGACCAGCCTGGCCAACATGGTGAAACCCAGTTTCTACTAAAAATAAAAAATTAGCTAGGCATGGTGGTGCATGCCTGTAGTCCAGCTATTCGAGGCTGAGGTGGGAGAATTGATTGAACCCAGGTGGAGGTTGCAGTGAGCTGAGGTCACACCACTGCACTCCAGCTTGGATGACAGAGTTGAGACCCTGCCTTAAAAAAAAAAAAAAGTTATTTGGTAAATATAACTTTTGAAATTTGTAGGTTATTGGAGGATTCTTGAATTTGATTATGAGATGAAACTTCTGAATCATGTAACTCAGCTTGTGGATTCTGAATCATGGTCTTTTAGAAAAGTTCCTTTGAATACATGCCTTCAGGAACTTGGACCATTGGAGCCAGAGTAAGTCTTTTAATTTATTGTCTATCCAGATTTCCTTAAGGAGAAGAGTGTTCTTTTACAGATTGAAATTAAACCCAGTGCATAAACTACAACAATTATATTTTGATGTCTTTGAGAAATATTTAAAATTATAGCCAAAGAAGATTTGGGAATTTTGGTCACTGAGTTGAATACATGTGCATTATCTTATTTGCTTTTGGCCATAAAAACGTAAAGAAATAATATGTTTGAGCTATTTTATAATACTAAATGTATGCTGCCGGGCACAGTGGCTCATGCCTGTAATCCCAGCTACTCGGGAGGCCGAGGCAGGAATCTCTTGAACTCTGGAGGTGGAGGTTGTGGTGAGCTGAGATTGTGCCATTGCACTCCAGCCTGGGCAACAAGAGTGAAACTTTGTCTCAAATGATAATAATAATAAATGTATGCTTACATAATTGATGTTAATATGTTTAGCATGGGGCCTGGCACCTAGTAACTTCCCTGTATAATTTAGTTAGTTCCTAATTTAAATAAAATATTATTTGGTGATCAAAATCCCTTAGTATTTAAAATTTCAAATTTCTTAATTTTGAGTTGGCAATGGGGTTAAAATATAGTGTATAAAACCACTTAGAACTTTTCAAATGTGTGTTTTAAATTTTTCAGGGAAATGATAGAACACTGTCTTAAATGTTATGGGAAGAAATATGTAGATGAAGGTAAGATTTGGAAAGTATTTTCATTTAACTCTTATATGTTAAAACTAAGAGCTCTGGCTGGGTAGAGTGGCTCACACCTGTAAACCCAGCACTTTGGGAGGCTGAGGTAGGTGGATTGCTGAGCTCAGGATTTCAAGACTAGCCTGGGCGACGTGATAAAACACTGTCTCCACAAAGAAATACAAAAATTAGCTGGCTGTGGCAGCACGTGCCTGCAGTCCCAGCTACTCAGGAATCTGAGGTGGGAGGATCACCTGAGCCCAGGGAGGTCGAGGCTGCAGTGAGCCTTGCTTGTGCTACTGCTCTCTGGCCTGGGCAACAGAGCAAAAAGAATGACCCACGCAGTGGCTCCCGCCTGTAATCCCAGCACTTCAGGAGGCTGAGGTGTGCAGATCACCTCAGGTCATGAGTTCAAGACCAGTCTGGCCAACGTGGTAAAACCCCATCTTTACTAAAAATACAAAAATTAGCTGGGCGTGGTGACACACACCTGTAATTCCAGCTACTTGGGAGGCTGGGGCAGGAGAATCACTTGAACTCAAGAGGCAGAGGTTGCAGTGAGTTGAGATTGTGCCAGTGCACTCCAGCCTGGGTAACAGAGCGAGACTTTGTCTGGAAAAAAAAAAAAAAAAAAAAAAAAAAAAAATCCCAAGAACTATGGGGTTGTGGGAAGTGAGTTTAGGTGTATAATTTCTTTCAAGAAACTGCACTAAAGAAAAGGAAACATTAGTACAGTATTTAATTATAAGAGGATAATGTGAAAATATGATTCCTTTTCATTAGGTGAAGTTTATTTTGAGTTGGATGCTGATAAAATATGCAGAGCAACAGCACATATGCTGCTTCAGAATGCGGTGAAATTCAATCTCGCTGAGTTTCAAGAAGTGTGGCAACAGAGTGTTCCTGAAGGAATGATCACTAGTCTTGATCAGCTTAAGGTAGTAGCAATAGACATTGCTATCTTACTTCAGCAGTTGAGTAATTTACTAGGTGAACGATACTTGAGTTGGAGCTGAATTTGGAACCAATTTCTTTTCCTAGACACCCATTAGGAGTGCATGTACATCCAATCCGTCACATAATCCTTAAAACTCAATAAAGTATTGGGGTATAATTTACATATTATAAAATATACCTTTAAATATTTTTAATAATTTTAGTAAGTTGCTATCACTACAATACAGTTTTAGAACATATTTATCACCTCTGTAAGATTGCTTGGGTCTATTTACTGTTAATCCCTGATCCTATTCAGTGTATCTCATTTTGTTCCATTTCTCACCATTTTCATCACCCCTATCTTAGTACCTTGATTTTACAGCAATAGCATCCCTAGGCAGGCCCCTTGTGCTTTTAATTTTGCTCCCTTTCAATCCATTCTTTGTGGTGCTACTAGAATGATCTTTTTAAAATGCCAGTCAGACATGCTGGTTTATGCCTGTAATCCCAGCACTTTGAGTCTAAGGCAGGCGGATCACCTGAGGTCAGGAGTTCGAGACCAGCCTGGCCAACATGGCGAAAGCCTGTCTCTGCTAAACATAGAAAAATTAGCTAGTTGTGGTGGTGGGCAACTGTAATCCCACTTACTTGGGAGGCTGAGGCAGGAGAATTGCTGGAACCCAGGAGGCGGAGGTTGCAGTGAGCCGAGTTTGTGCTACTGCACTCCAGCCTGGGCGACAGAGTGAGACTCTGTCTCAAAAAAAAAAAAAAAGATAAATAATAATAAATAAATAATTAAAATGCCAGTCAGATCAAATGAATGTTCTGCTTAAATCTCTTTATTGATTGATTGATTGAGACTGAGTCTCATTCTGTTACCCAGGCTGGAGTGCAGTGGCTTAATCTCAGCTCACTGCATCCCCCATCTCCCAGGTTCAAGCCTCAGCCGCCTGAGTGGCTGCGATTACAGGCACCCATCACCAGGCCCAGCTAATTTTTGTTATGTTTAGTAAGGATGGGGTTTTATCATGTTTGCCAGGCTGATCTCTAACTCCTGACTTCAGGTAATCTGCCCACCTTGGACTCCCAAAGTGCTGGGATTATAGGCATGAGCCACTGAACCTGGCCTTAAATCAGTTTAATGGTTGCCTATGGCCCTTAGGATAAAAATACCCAGAATTCATGTCTTGGCCTATAAGGCCGTTCAGGATCACCTTCATAGCCTCATCTCTGGCTACTTTCTCTCCTGCTCACTGCATACCAATAGTCTTTCAGGTTTTCACGATCATCAAGCTCTTACCTACCTGAGACCTTCACATAAAGCTTTTTGTTCTAGAATGATATTCTCTCTCATTTCATCTGGTCGCCTCCTGCTCATCTTTGAGTCGCTTCATCAAGGAGGCCTTCCTTCATTCTCTGCTCAAAGGAAAGGCCTCTGATTTTACTCTTCCATAGCATGGTGTACTTTGCTTCATGTCTCTCGCCCCTTAGCTTGGAAGAATGTTCAATTCTGTGGTTCCCCACTCTCCACTTTGATGGCACTTTGTTTGCTGCTGCTTGCTAGTATGTAGCATACTGTCTGCATGTGGTGTGTACTCGGTAAGTATTTTGTTAGTTAAATTAAAAGATTTGCTTGGTATTTATGGAGTTCCTTTTGTCGAGGCATCATGCTAGGTGCTCAAGAGAAAATGTCATACAAGGTGTCATCATGGTGCTCAACTTGGGGACTGGCAATAGGGGACACATATTACATGCCTAAATCTGTTCTTACAATGCAGAGTGATCTATGCCATTGGAAAGGCATATACATGATGTTATAAGAACAAAGAAAAGGGGCTTAGCCATCAGACTGGTCAATAAGGGATGACTTTCTGAAGAAACGGATGTTTTAGCTGCTGCCTATGGAAAGATGAACTGTTGCTGTCTAGATGGAAGGAAGGCTGGAGGTGGAAATCTAGAGAACATGGTCAAAGGTGTGGAGGTATAAACATTGGAGCACTGTTGTAGGGATGCATGGACTAGAGTGAAGGATGCTTGTGAGGTAAGGACACTGTGGATTGTGCTAAGGAATCTCAACTCTATCTAGAAAGCTCTTTGAGGCCACTGAGTGACATCAGTTAGGAGTTACCTCATCAGGAACTCATCAGCTTGGCCTTTTGAAAAAAATGCTATGACAGTAAAGAAGATGGACAGATGGAAGGTTGGTTAGATTATGAAAAAGGATTACTGTGCAGGCTGTCAACACATATGCTCCCAACTAAGAGAGTACTGGCCAAAGAAATAGGTAATGGGGAATGGATAGAGGAGTCCTGAAGCCTTAGCATGTATTATATAGGCTTTAGTGACCACGTAAGTGTGGGGTTTGACTAATGTAATCAAAGACGATGCCTAGGTTTCCTGTTTTCCTAGGAGAGTGGGACTAGAGGAGGTTTGGATGATAAACGAGTTTATATATAGATTTGGATATAGAGGTCTGGGGCTCAAAAGAGACATCTGAGCTGAATATATAAATATTATCATCATTAGCAAGTAAGTGGTGGCTCAGGCCACAGGTTTAGATGAGGTTACTCAATAGAGTGACAGTGAAGCAAGTAGAGAAGTTGGGATGGAAGCCTCAGGGAGCTACAACATCAAGTTAGGAGGAAAATAAGGAGACTGTGATGTCAGGGATGGAGAGGTATTTAAAGAAGAAGGAGTAATCAACAGTAACAAAGAAAATAGAGGGCTAGGGATCAAGTGCAGTGGCTCATACCTGTAATACCAGCACTTTGGGAGGCTGAGAAGGGCAGATCACTTGAGGCCAGGAGATCGAGACCAGCCTGACCCACATGGTGAAACCCCTTCTCTGCTAAAAATATAAAAATTAGCTGGATGTGGTGGCATGTGCCTGTAGTTACAGCTACTCAGGAGGCGGAGGCGGAGGTTGCAGTGAGCCAAGTTTGCGCCACTACACTCCAGCCTGGGTGTCAGAGCGAGACTCTGTCTGAAAAAGGAAAAAGAAAATAGAGGATTAGTACAATGAATCCAAGAAAAGGGCCCACTGGATTTGGCAATGACAGGTTACTGGTGACCTTTAGAACCAGACCTGTCTTGATAAACTGGTGGTGATAGATGCCAGATTGCAGAAGAGAAAAGAAGTCACTGTTTAAAGGAGCTCTTTGTATGAAAAAGGCTATTGTAAATCTCTGGATAGTTTAAGTTTCATGTAGCTGACATTTTGAATATCTTGAGCTAAGCTAAACCTAAAGGTAAAAGAATGAGGCATGTTTAAATATTACAACATTACTTTAACTGCCCTGTTTCTTCTCATTTCTTGTAGGGTTTAGCGCTGGTGGATAGACACTCAAGACCAGAAATCATATTTTTGCTGAAAGTAGATGATTTACCTGAGGATGATCAGGGACGTTTTAATAGTCTTTTCTCTCTAAGGGAGAAGTGGACAGAAGAAGATATTGCTCCATATATTCAGTAAGTAATTTATTAAAGATGGATTTTGAGGGTTGTTCTTTTTATAAAGAGTGGCATAGCATTTTAGATTTATGATTGGAACACAATTTTCTTGAGTATTCCCTGAAGATACTGCTTCCCTAGAAACACTCTTAGGTGGTGGCTATATTCTCTGTCCTTCACAGTGACTGGTGCTGGAGGTGGAATATGTGTTATCTCTGTTCCTCACTACTGCTTCTAAAACCACTTTTCTGCTCTCATTCCTGGAAAACTGTCCTCTTTGAGGGATGAAATACATACCCCACTATCACTCTAAGGCAAACACCCCTCTCTCATTGCCACCTCATGCTTTACTTTATTTAACATTATGGGAGAGGCCAGATTGCAGTAGAACAAATTAGCCCCAAAGTCACTTTTTACAAAATCTTGAGTCCCCTAACACTTAAAATCCGCTAACGCTACAGCTTTGTCACTGTGTCACACCTCTTAGGTGCTCTCTCCTCTCTTTACCCAGCTCGAATCCCATGGTCAGTTTTCCTAGCTCTTACTGTCTACCCTTTACTCCTGTGACCCTCTCCCTCTTACCATATCTCCCTGGCAAAAAGCTAAAAAGATTAAACCCAACTTTCTCCTTTCTCTGTGCCTACACCTGGCCAGCTGAAACTTTCTGGAGAATAATACACAATGAAGCTGCCAGCATGGAGCTTCTTCTACCATTGGAGCTTCTTCTCCATCTTCTTTTCCTTTTTCATACCAGCAGTACCTTCTGTTTCCTTTTATGATCTTATTTTTTCAGAACACGAAAGCACTGAGACCAGACCTACCTTCTTTCCCACTGCCAAATCACCCAGTCTCCTCATGTGTGCACATACTTCCTTTGCAGTCCTGTGTGGTGAAAGGATTGTCCCTGCTCCTAAGGCCAGTCCTTCGCACTAGATCCATCTCCTCTGTTGTCTTAAAGACTTGGATCCTCGAGTTATTAATGTCCCTTTCACCCCTTGTGTTATTAATGTCTGCCTCTTCTGAATCATCCCCATCAGCATACAAAATTCTATATTGCCCATCTTGAAAAACAACAATAGCAACCTACTGGACCTTGTGTCCTTTGCTTTCTTTCATAAGAAAATGCCTTTTACAAGTTTCCTGTGCATTTCACTCTATGCATTTCACCTCCTATTCTTTCCTTTACCCATTGACATCTTCTTAATCCAATGACATCCATTTTCTACCCTCAGTGGTTAATCATGTGTTCTTGGTTACTTGACTTGGCACTATTTGCCAGTGTCTGCTTCCTCCTACTTAAAACACAAGTTTCTCCACTCTTCCTTGGAGCAGAGGGGAGAAAACCATCTCTTTTGTTGATGTCTCCCCATTCTAAATTTTTAAATGTTGGAGTGCTCCAGGACTCTATTTTTGGGCCATCTTCTCTTCTGTTTATACTTTTCCTTTGGTGCCCTCATCTAGGCCTGAAAACAAATTTAATGACTTCTTAATGTCATCTTCATACTTGCCCTTTTACCTCAGGTCCAGATTCCTATATCTGGTTGCCTAATGCACCTCTCCAGTTAGATATTCAATAGGAATTTCAAGCTTAACATGTTCATAACAGAACTGTTGTATCTCCCTCATCCTTACCCCCCTTCTTAATCACAGTTAACAGCACTGCCACTAATGCAGTTACTTAAACCAAAGTCTAGGAATCATCCCTGTCCTTTCCTTTCCCCACCTTCTGGTTCAAACTGTGAGCAAATCCTGATGGATCATCTCGTACCTGCCTCTGAACTGGTCTCCCTGTTCTGTTTTTACCCCTTCCCCTCTCTCCTGTTTATACTGTTTCTTTAAATATTCTAAAGTGACAATATAATGACACCTTCATATATCCACTGCCCAGCTTCCATAATCATCAACTCATTGGCTCCTTTATTTATTTATTTGAGATGGAGTCTCACTCTGTCACCCAGGTTGGAGTGCAGTGGTAAAATCTCGGCTTACTGCAACCCCTGCTTCCCGAGTTCAAGCGATTCTTCTGGCTTACCCTCCCGAGTAACTGGGATTACAGGTGTGTGCCACCATGCCCAGCTAATTTTTGTGTTTTTAGTGGAGACGGGGTTTCACCATGTTGGCCATGTTGGTCTCAAACTCCTGACCTCAAGTGATCTGCCTGCCTTGGCCTCCCAAAGTGCTGGGATTACAGGCGAGAGCCACTGTCCCTGGCCAACTCCATTATTTAAAACTTAGATCATATTGTGTTTTTCCATTAATTAAAAACCTCCTATTGGCTTCCCATTACATGTAGAATTAAGTCACAACTCTCTTTCCCTGTCCTACAAGGCTCTGCGTGATCTGGCTGTTGCTTCCTTCTCCAGCTCATGTCCTCTTATTCTTCCCTCCCCTCATTACGTTCCAGTCAGAATCTTCTCTTTGAGGTACAGAAGAGGAAACTAAAGTTCAGGAAGAGTTGGTAACCTAGACAAGTTCACACAAGTACCTTGTATCAAGGAACTCTGACTCTAGGCCCCGTTATATAGGCCTCACTGTATCACACTGCTTGTATTTCTAATTTAGAGGCTGTGTGATATAATGGAAATAGCGTAGACTTTGAAGGCATACACACCTGGTGGCAGAATTTGACACTGTCATTTATTACTTGTCTGAGCTATAGTTCCTCATATCTAATATAAGGTTAAATAATACATTATTCCTACTTTGTGTGGGTTAAATGAGATAGTACAAGTAATGTACTTAGTTTAATTAAAACTTAGAACCGGCCGGGCGCAGTGGCTCACACCTGTAATCCCAGCACTTTGGGAGGCCAAGGTGGGCAGATCAAGAGGTCAGGAGTTTGAGAGCAGCCATGGTGAAACCCCATTCTCTACTGAAAATACAAAAAATCAGCCAGGCTTGGTGGTATGCACCTGTAATCCCAGCTACTCGGAAGGCTGAGGCAGAAGAATTGTTTGAACCTGGTAGGCGGAGGTTGCAGTGAGCCGAGATCATGCCACTGCACTCACTCCAGCCTGGGTGACACAGCAAGATTCCATTTCAAAAAAGAAATAAAAAAGTTAGAACCACTCCCCACCCTATCTCTTCCACAAACACCTACACTTATGCTGTTGAGAGGGTAGACTCAGGGGGAGAGAGATAAAATAAGTACATAGTACTGTATCATATTATAATATGTTCCCTAAAATATTCATGCTATATTTTTTTTATTGTTCCCACAGAGATTTGTGTGGAGAGAAGCAAACCATAGGTGCATTACTCACTAAATATTCTCGTTCTTCGATGCAAAATGGTGTTAAAGTTTATAATTCGAGAAGACCCATTTCTTAAAAGAACAACAGTCTTTTCTTCGGGACTCAAGTTGCTTTATAAAGTTGCTGGAAACAAGAAAAATAACTTGTACTTTATTTCTGACTTTTAAAAACCTAGTCTTCTAAGGCATTTTTTTCTCCTCATCTTAAGCATTTTGAAACTACTGTTATTTCTTAAATGTTATAGGATGTAGCTTTCCAATTATATTTGTAGTATGTACACAGTGTAAACAAGGGCAAAAGAAAGTATTATTTCCTGTATTTAGTATGTCTGAGGTCTCTATGGTTTACTTAAAGTTTGGTTTTTTATATTTAAAATGCCATTTCTTCAATTAGGATTTGATATTCTAATCATTAAAACATTGAAGTTTTTCAGATAACTAAATAGTAATAGTTTCATAAAAGAGACTTATTTATTCACTTAAATATCATTTCTCAAGTGAGTTCCCCTCTACTTTTAGCCTTCCACCAAAACTGGCAGTCACTAGGTACTATCAGTTATTTATATTCTTAGTTTACATTCATGAAACTGGCTGAATAATTACTCCTCTGTTTGCCTGGCATAGACATGCACTTTGGAAAAAAATGGGTTTATAATTCTATAATGAAAAATACTGGCACAGGTATGCTCACTTGAAAACTTCAGGTAATTTCTAGTGGGTTTTGGAATGCTGGCTAAAGTTCCTTTATAGCTTTGTTTGCCCCATTTGTTTTGGTTTGGATCGAAGTTCAAATTAATTTTAACGTAGTTAATGAACCTGTTACCAGGACAGTTGGAGGGGGTAGGCCAAGGTTAAATGGTCCAAGTTTCAAAAATGTTAATTTATAATCCATAATTAAGCAAGATTTAACTGTTATAGAAATTTACAAGTTTTATTCTCACAAACATGAAATATGACACAATGGTAAATGTCTCTGCATTTATGTGGATTATATAATATACACATACAGTCTATCTATATGTAGTCTATTTATTTATTTATTTATTTAGAGTTGGAGTCTCCTGCTGTTCAGGCTGGAGTGCAGTGGCACTATCTCAGCTCACTGCAACCTCCACCTCTTGGGTTCAGGTGATTCTGCTGCCTCAGCCTCCCGAATAGCTGGGATTACAGGCACACGCCACAACTCCCAGCTAGTTTTTGTATTTTTATTAGAGATAGGCTTTCACCATGTTGGTCAGGCTGGTCTTGAACTCGTGACTTCAAGTGATCTGCCTTCCTTGGCTTCCCAAAGTGCTGGGATGTAGTCTGTATTTTATTTTGTTTTTGTGAGACAGTCTCGCTCCGTCGCCAAGAATTGAGTACGGTGGAATGATCTCAGCTCACTGCAACTTCCATCTCCTGGGTTCAAGCAATTCTGCCCCAGCCTCCCAAGTAGCTGGTATTACATGCGTACACCACCACGCCCAGCTAATTTTATATACTTTTTAGTAGAGACGGGGTTTCACCACGTTGGCCAGGCTGGTCTAGAACTCCTGACCTCGATCCGCCTGCCTCGGCCTCCCAAAGTGCTGGGATTACAAGCGTCAGTCACCACGCCCGGACTTGTAGTCTATATTTTAAAATAAATACTGAGGCAGCAGTGCCTAGTGAGAGCTTTGGAGTGCTGGAGTTTTGACATTCAGACTACCTGGAGTCTAATCACATATTTTACAGCTTAAATCACCGGACCTACTAAGTTTATGGTGTCTGTTCTCACAGCAAGCCAGAGGCAGCCTCTCCTGATTTCGGGAGACTTCACACTACTCCATCAGCCCGGTTTCGAGCACCCTGCGGCAGCCTATTTCTACCTGGCTTGTCGCAAACTTTATCCGCCATTCTTCTCAATGTGCTTGTACTAGAAAACTTTACTTTCCCTCCTTTCCTTCCTGCTCTTCTCGCCTCACCCACTAGTTTCTTCGCTTTCCTAAATGTTAACAATTTTCACCCACCGTGTGCTCGGGAACAGGCAAGCGCAAACACGCCGGTATCGCAAGCCCTGCCGATTGGCACGACTTCCTGGTTCTACCCCCTCCGCCGTTCCACTTCCGCTGACGTTGGAGGTCAGAGGTTACAGACAAGATGTCTGCTCACGGTCGCTTTGAGCACTTGCGGAGAGGAGCATCTCTGGGACAGAAGCTTGTCCACGGCGGCTTATAGGAGCTAGGTCGAAGGAGCGAGGTTGAGGCGGTAGCGACCCGTTAGGTAGCTCCCCTGAAGGCCAGCCGGCTGCGGAACGTGACTTTTGGGGACCGCAGGAGAGCGGGGAGTGTGAGGTGCCATTGACCAGTAATGCCCGGTTTCCCCCAGGAAAGCCGGGAAGCCAAACTCCGCGGGACCGCTTCATGCCGCCTACTGGTTTAGAGCCCACCAGAATGAACAGGAAGAAAGGAGACAAGGGCTTTGAAAGCCCAAGGCCATATAAATTATAAGTATTTTTTCATTTCCCTTCCTTCCTTTTGGTTTTGTTGCCATTAACTATATATTGTGATTGCTTGAAACTGAATTGTTGGGCCTGGGAAACCTAGTGGGAAAACTAGAATTTACTCACTGTGATAGAAATGGTGTTTGTACGGGAAAAATGTTTTGAGTGACAGCGTTATTCAGCAAATTTAATTCTCGTTTCAAGTTACTAAAGTTTTTTTCTAAGTGCTGTACTAGATTGTATTTCTGTTAAATCTATTTTCATGGCGGTTGCCAGATTTTTAAAAATTATCCCAATTAGTAGAGCGTTTTTTGTTTTGTTTTTTAAGGCGGAGTGTTGCCCTTTCGCCCAGGCTGGAGTGCAGCGGCGCGATCTAGGCCCACTGCAACCTCCACCTCCTGGGTTCAAGCTTTTCTCTTGCCTCAGCCTGTCGAGTAACCGGGATTACAGGCATGTGCCACCACGCCCTGTTAATTTTTGTATTTTTAGTAGAGACGGGGTTTCACTGTGTTGGCCAGGCTGGTCTCCAACTGCTGACCTTATGATCTGCTCGCCTTGACCTCCCAAAGTGTTGGGATTACAGGGTGAGCCACTGCTCCCGACCCTAGTTCATAGTTTTAAAATAAAATGAAATATTGACATGTAATTTTGAATTACTTAGAACATAGCCCTAATTTATATCTGGGTAGAATTATACTTTCATTTAACAATATAATTTATTTTTTTCCTTATTGTCTTTTTATGTTTATTAATATACAACCCATCAGGTCGTCTGCATCAACAACATAAATTTCCAGAGAAAATCGGTTGTGGTAAGTTTATTCTCAACAATTATAAACAGTAACAAGTCCGCCCCTCAGAGTTCTTAGAAAGTTAATACTATTCCAGATAATTGTGTTTCAAGAATAGGTAAGAATTAAAATTAAGGTCTATATGATTACAAGTTTCATAGACCTTCCACTAATACCTGTTGCCTCCCAAATTCTCCCTTTCTTTTTTTTCAATTTCCTAATTAAAATTGTATTCCTGTTTATCTGGTGAATAACATGAAAGCATGTATAGCCGAGCATTTTAGAATTGTGCGCTAAACAAGTATAAGCCCATAGTGACATTTCTTCTATGAAAAAACTTAAGATTAATACACTCACTGATTTAGCTTCTAAGTGGCCACTTTTGCTTCTTGACTGACTTGGTTTAGGTGGTGTTGCTTTGTAGTGAAGTTTTAGACAAGAGTATTTGAGATCTGGAAACCCTCTACCTCCCCCACCCCACCCCTGCCACACACAGTTTAGATGTATGGCTTGCTGATATTATCAATTTTAGGAAAAAGCTTGAGCACTCAAGGTTTTTGTTTTGTTTTATTGAGACAGAGTCTTGCTCTGTCACCCAGGCTGGAGTACACTGCTGTGATCTTGGCTCACTGCAACCTCCACCTCCTGGGTTCAAGCAGTTCTCCTACCTCAGCCTCCCGAGTAGCTTGAATTACAGGTGTGCACCACCACACTCACCTTATTTTTGTATTTTTAGTGGAGCCAGGGTTTCTCCTTATTGACCTGGCTGGTCTCGAACTCCTGACCTCAAATGATCCACCTGCCTTCTGTCTCCCAAAGTGCTGGGATTATAGGCATGAATCACTGCACCCAGCCAAAAACTCAAGTATTTATTTAATTTACCTTTTTAGGGCTACCTCTATTACATAGACTAAAATGTTAAAGAGAGCTGATTTTCCTTGAGTGATGGTGTCAACTTCTCTGTCAGATTTGTGACTTGTGTGTGTATATGTTTACTTAGGATGAGCTGAATAGATAGAAAAATGTCACTTTTCGTAAGAATCATAGAATCTTAGATTTGTAATGTGCCTAAAAGGTTTATTAAATCTAGTCTCCTCATTTATGGAATTTCTCATGCAGTCTTCCCTGTATTATGTACCTTGTGTCTTATAGTAGAATACTTTAGTTGTATTATGTTGTATGAATTGGGTAGAAAAGATAAGGGAATTAGGGAGTCTAGTTCAGGGGTTACTGCAATAATCTAGAGGGGAAATGGTGAAGGCCTAAATAAAGATAGCATTAGTGAAAATGGAGTAGAAATAGAGTTGACATGATTGAATTAGTGAACGTAAATTTAGCCATTAATATATATATATATTCTTACATATATTTTATATATATATTCTTACATATATTTTATATATATATGTATATATATTCTTACATATATATTAAGACTCAATCTTCGTAATTACTCAGTGAGGTAGATAATATTTTAATCCTAATATTATATATTAGGCAGCTGAAAGAATGGAGGTTAAGTAACTTTCTCAAGGGCATAAAGTTGGAAAATGATAAAACCCTTTTTAATCAGGGGTGACCTAAGAGTCCAGTGCACTTCATATATCATTCCCCCTTCCACCTCTGTGGTCCCTGAGGAATCAATAGACAGAAGTTGCACATGGCTTTTTCAGGACTGCTATAACGGAGTTGTGGATGACTTAAGTTTCCCATTGGAAACTTTGGTTGGATTGGGTGTGGGTTAGGATCTTGGCAGGAAATAAATGGCAGATACACACATGTTAATTGAGGGAAATGAACGGACCATTTAGAACAGAGTTAAGAGAAACCAACATGAGGTTGAGGAACCCTCTGAGCTAGCAACAGTGAGGAACAGTTGCCACTTCCAGGCCTGAAACAACAAAGGGAAGAAGTTACTAGAACCTACTGTTGCCATGGAAAGAGTCACGTAGGATCTGTGTCTTTTAATAAAAGAATGAAGCTGCTGTTTACCTGCAGCCTGGCAGAAAGGAATCTGGGGTAATTAATATAAACTTGCTTTCCAGTTTCCTTTTTGTGGAAACTGTTGGATCAACTCAGTCAGAAGCCGGAAGGGTAGAGCCCGGTTAATACTAGGGTATTGAGTAGGGTAGAGAACAGATCAGGAGGGGCAAAAGGAGAATAATCAGAACAGACTACCTTTTTAACCCCAGCACATCCACTGTTGCTTTTGTTGAGATGAAAAGCTAGTTCTCCTAACGTGGGGACTTAGAAAGTCCTGTGAGCCACTGAAAGAGTTGGCAATGGCTGAATACTTGTTTTTTAAATGAAGTGTTACTTGAACACAGCCATACCCATTTATTTATATATTGACTATGGAGGTTTGGAGCTACACTGGCAGAGCTGAGTAGCTGAGACAGTGACTGTGTGACCCACAAAGCTTAAAATATTTCTGTCTGGCACTTTAAGAGAGGGCTTGCTAAACCCTGAGCTATTCTATTAGTGTGAGAAATGACATTTCAGCCCTGTTCCCACCCAAAATATTAGTTACCTTTACTATCATTTATGCAAGATAATGGAAAGAAAACTGATTAAAAGAAACAGTGTAAAACTTAATTGCTACAGTCCCTGCTTTCCTTAGCTGGTAACTTGGCCAAAGTTGATATACACTGCTTTATTTCTCCACTTCTTTGGTGTTTCCTTTTTGTTTGCTGACATTTCTGTTGGGATGAACTAGACTCTTGTTTCTTTTAATTATTTTTTTTTTTTTTTGAGAGAGTCTTACTCTGTCACCAGCCTAGAGTGCAGTGGCACAGTCTCAGCTCACTGCAATCTCCATCTCCTGGGTTTAAGCAATCCTTCTGCCTCAGCCTCCCGAGTAGCTGGGACTACAGGCGTGTGCCACCATGCTCGGCTAATTTTTTTTGTATTTTTTTGTATTTTTTTTTTTTTGGGACGGAGTTTCGCTCTTGTTACCCAGGCTGGAGTGCAATGGCGCTATCTCGGCTCACCGCAACCTCTGCCTCCTGGGTTCAGGCAATTCTCCTGCCTCAGCCTCCTGAGTAGCTGGGATTACAGGCACGCACCACCATGCCCAGTTAACTTTTTGCATTTTTAGTAGAGACGGGGTTTCACCATGTTGACCAGGATGGTCTCGATCTCTTGACCTCGTGATCCACCTGCCTCGGCCTCCCTAAGTGCTGGGATTACAGGCTTGAGCCACCGCGCCCGGCGAAGCTTTAATTTTTTATTTGGTAATTGGAATGATTCATTCCAGCAAGAACTGGACCTCTTTCTTTGCTTTTTGCTTCTTTGGGATGAGGAGCTCAAGGTGGTCAAAGGGCAGCCTCAACTTCCAGTGTAATGGAATCATGATTATGTGCCCTGGTGGCTGCGTTCTTCACTTGGGCACTAGGACCTCTCAACACACTGAACCCAGGGTCACAGAGACAGGAGACAAAAATTCCTCTCATGGCTGGGCACTGTGGCTCACACCTATAATCCCAGCACTTTGGGAGGCTGAGGTGGGTGGATCACCTGAGGTCAGGAGTTCAAGACTACCCTTGCCAAAATGGTGAAACCCTGTCTTTACTGAAAATACAAAAAAATTAGCTGGGTGTGGTGGTGGGTGTCTGTAATCCCAGCTACTCAGGAGGCTGAGGCAGGAGAATCACTTGAACCTGGGAGGTGGAGGTTGCAGTGAGCCGAGATTGCGCCATTGCACTCCAGCCTGGGCAACAAGAGCAAAACTCTGTCTTGAAAAAAAAAAAAATTCTTCTATGGCATTTTTAGTGTAATAGTGAAAATAGTCACTCCAACTTTGACCCCCTGGTTCCCAGTTCTGTTTTGGCCAGGAGAGATAATCCTATATGTTGTCTACTAATTTAAGGCAGCCTCCTGTAGGAGATTTCTTGATTGTTGCTGTTACTGAGTCTTCAGCAGTTGATCATGCCATCTACTTCTGTATGATAGGGTACAAGATAAAATGCATAAGTTTAAACAAATCGGTTATTCTATTTTCTGTGTGTGGAAGAGAAGGGCAGCAGGTTTGAGAGGAAAGATTCATAGGTCAGATTAGAAAATGTTACATTTCATGCACTTTTGGGTTATTAAATTGAGATGAATAGTGGGTAGTTGACTACATGTCTGTGCAGATAAAGAATGAGATGGTGAGACAGATTTAAAAGTCTTTGATATACAGTTGTTCATGAAGGGTGTAGAAAAGCTCACTTGGAGTATCTAGCAGGAAATGAGCATCAGGGAGAAATATCTGAAGAATATGATGTTGGAGAAAACTGACCAAGAGCCTCTTGGGCTGCAGAAACCAATGAAAAACTTTTTTTTTTTTTTTTTTTTTGAGACAGGATCTCGCTGTCACCTAGGCTGGAGTGCAGTGGCACAATCATAGTTCACTGCAGCCTCAGCCTCCCTGGGCGCAGGTAGTTAACCCACCTCAGCCTTCTGAGTAGCTGGGACCACAGTCATGCACCACCCACCTGGCTAATTTTTGTATTTTTTGGTAGAGACGGAGATTTGCCATGTTGCCTGACTGGTCTCAAACTCCTGGGCTCAAGCAGTCCACCCTACTTTGGCCTTCCAAAGTGCTGGGATTACAGATATGAGCCGTCACACCTGGCCAAAAAACATATTTTAAGAAGGAAGAGGCTAGGTGCAGTGTGGCCCATGCCTGAAAGCCCAGCACTTTGGGAGGCTGAGGCAGGTGGATCACCTGATGTCAGGAGTTTGAGACCAGACTGGCCAATGTACTGAAACCCTGTCTCTGTTAAAAATACAAAACAATTAGCCAGGCATGGTGTTGGACATAATCCCAGCTACTCGGGAGGCTGAGTCAGGAGAGTCACTTGAACCCAGGAGGCGGAGGTTGCAGTGAGCCGAGATTGTGCCACTGCACTCCAGCCTGGGCATCAGGAGTGAAACTCCATCTCAAAAAACAAAAAGGAGGAAATGGTTGTTCATTTTAAATGTAAACAGTAAGTGTAAACTTGAAAACTGAAAGTAATTCTTGGTCATTAGTGACTACA